CTTGGAAAATTTGATACTCACAGGCAAGAGGGACAGAGAAAACAACACATAACCTACCTAGTGATAAATGACACACCTAATGGCTGAAAGGTCTAAAGCACTTAAAATTTAATAACTGTTTCCCCTAAGGGAACATGGGTTCAAATCCTGCCAGAGGGCACATAATTTTCTTTAATAAGATATCTTGAATATTCAGGCAGACAAAAATAAATAAATAAATACTGTTTAATAAATAAATGACTATCCACTAAAAATAACGTTTTAGTAATAAAATCTGTCGGATTAACAAAACATATAAAAATATGAAAGTGTATGGTAAAGTCAAAGCATAGAGGCAAATAATCTGTTTCATGCTAAATTTAATCATCATGGCTTGGGTGTGACTACAATGTCTATTTACATATGATCTATCCTTGATATTGACCACTTTAACCCATAAATATAACATACCTTAAAATATATATATATATATATATATATATATATATATATATATATATATATATATATATATTTTAGTAAAAAAACAAAAATTACATCAACATGGGGGATAGCTGCATACAGAATGGCTTGAAATAGACTATCACCAGTCCTTCTGTCTCAGAGCATTGTCAGAAAAACAATACTCCGAGACAGGCACTTAGAGGCTGACGATAGCCACATACAGAACGGCTTGAAATAGACTATCCCCATGTTGAGGTAATTTTTGTTTTTTTGCTAAGAATAAGAATAAGAAGAAAAAGAATAAGAAGAAAAAGAATAAGAAGAAAAAGAATAAGAAGAAAAAGAATAAGAAGAAAAAGAATAAGAAGAAAAAGAATAATAAGAAAAAGAATAATAAGAATAAGAATAATAAGAATAATAATAATAAGAATAATAAGAATAATAAGAATAAGAATAAGAATAAGAAGAAGAAGAAGAATAAGAAGAAGAAGAAGAAGAAGAATCTCTGTTATACATTGAGCTCTCTGTGGATCAATTTTAATAATTATTACAAGGATCCACCCGGATTATATACAAATGGATCAATTATATATATATATATATAAGGTATTTTCAAAAAGTTTAGGTTGACCCTTTAGCTTCCAATATCACTTCCTTACAGTTAATTTCTACTTCCTCTACAGATATGAACTTCATTCCACATCGGGATTTAAAAGACAGACGATCACTTTCTTTATTCCCAACATGAGGTAAAAAGATTTTTTTAATTATTCTTTCATATTGCTCTATATAAATAAAATGCAACAAGCTCTTTTGTGGATCAGTTTTAATATTTTTAGGATCCACTCAGATTATATTCCCACAGATTTATTCTACCGTTATTGTATACATATATATTTTTGTAGGTTTGGTTAAAGACTAATATCTTTATTTTATTTTTTTTATTAAATTCTTCTATGACTGGGACTATTTTTCTGGTTTTTAAGAAGAAACTGAACATAAATAACCTTGTATAAAAATCTTCTCATTGCCCCCCACTCCACATGATAATTGCTTTTGAAAATTGAAAGTGCTCAGAACACAGTGAACAATTTATGTTCAAATTTTCCCTTGAAACCAACTAAGTGGTTCAATTTATTATATAATTTATCTAATTACTTTAAACATTATATTCAGTGGATCAATGCATTTGAGTAAACATACCTGCTCATTTTTTTCTTTGGGGGGGGGGTTTCTTTTCATTTTTTTAAAAAGTTGAAATTTACACCTATAAGCCAGTGCATTCAAGAGTCTTAATAAAGAAAATATGCCTCACCATGGAGTAATGGTTAGCAAGCTAACTCAATTACCAATGGATGCTATGTACTTGTAGCCTTGTGCCATACTAAGTAGTGATAGTAATGGTAGACATTTCTAATTTCATCACAAGTAACCTCTAGAAAAAACATTCTGCATTTGTGACATGCTGTAAAAATAAAATTATTTGCAACACATTAAGACACACAGACACACATATATATATATATATATTTAATTTAAAGAAAAACAGATCACTTTAAGGCTCCATTAAATTTGCTCCAAATTAACAATGAGCTCTCAGGATTTCATCCTCCTTGGAATTATCCATACGGATTACCAAGATTTTCATATATATATATATATATATATATATATATATATATATATATATATATATATATATATATACACACAATTGAAAATGTCTATAAAAATAATTCAATCAAAAATTTAGTGGATAATTAAAGAAATTTGTTTTATTTTTTTAATCATTTATCCTGTGTACGATAATAGCCAGTGAAACAAAGGGGGCTTCTGAGTGTGAAAGAATTAGAAGAAAAAAAGGAGCTTTATTAAAGAACAAGAAAAGCAGAAGAGTTAATCAAGAAGACAGTAGATAACGATTGACATTGCATTTAAATCTTTGAAAATCAAAGATGGCTGGAAGGCATGGGGCTGGAATGAAGTTCCACAATAAAGAAGTGTGAGAAAAACTGTCAGCACAGAACTTAGCCAATTGATAAATTGATGAGACCTTGCCGCCAATCTAGTATTGCACTTAAATTCATAACCACCAGGTACCATAGCAAAGAGCTCATCTGAACAATTACCATGAAAGTATTTATAGAAAAAGCACAGGGAAGCAATTTTGACATGATAGGAAAGTGACTGAAGCCAAGAGCCCAGTTCAGGACCAATAATGTTGCTGATTCTTCTTTGGATTTTATAAAGAATCTCTACATATATAGCAGGAGCACCAAAATTACATTGAGGTATCATGACAAGTTCCAATTCAAAAAATATACTGTAAACAGCTAGCTACAGATAACCAAATTCATGAAGAAAAAGAAGAGACAGAAAATACAAAATGTTTTTAAATTGAGATCACACACTTGTTTCTATAGGAAGTCTTTACACAAACAGATAAACGGATAAAAATTAAATATATTTTAATAAGCCAAATTATAACAAAATAAAAATGTCATTTCTATAAAATAGAAAAAACAAAAAAAAATTACCAATGTTCACAAATCAAGTTTAAAAAAAAAAAAAAAAAAATCTAACATTCATTTTGGAAAGAATTTTAGTGTTAGAAATAAAAAAAAATATTCAAAGTTTAAATAAAAGAATGAAATTCCTGCAAATATCTAAGAACTGTATCTAAGAATGTAAATACAGGTGATTGTATTTGACTAAAATTTTAGGATCAATTTTTATTAAACCTTTCCACAATCAATATCTACTTAAATCCTATATGTAACCTAAAACTGCACTAAATTAACCTACTCCTAAATGTTAAGGAAAAAAAAAAATCTTGCAACTGAATAATATTTTGCTGTGGTGTTCACAATGGACTGTAATAACAGAATTATCAAAGGAAAAAAAAAAAAAAAAAAAAAAAAAAAAAACAGTCAAATCCTAAATATAGAGCACTATCCTTTGTTTACTTGAATATACACATATTTGATAAAAAAAAGAAAAAGAGGCACTGTTATACAAGAGACAGAATAATCTGCAAGACGAGTACACTGAATGATAATGTATAATGGAGTTAGAATTTTCTTTCTGAGGGTGACCAAATTGGCGTCAGGGCCATCTAGTAATGCTAAAATCTTTCATGAATTTTAAAGAAAATTTTTAAAATAAAAATAAAAATAATTAAAAAAAAATGAAAATCCCTATTTGAAGAATTTGGTTTGATTTAAATTCATTCAAAAAGGTTGGGGGGGAGTTAACTCTGCATATGAAAAAAGGAGAGAAAAAAAAAAAAAAAAAAAAAAAAAAAAAAAAACAGCACAATCTGCAAAAGAGGAAATTCAATCATCTATTTTCAGTTATAATTTTCTGAACAGGTCATGGGGGTTGTTTAATATTGCCTAGATTTTTCTCTTAAAAGTTTTAAAAATCAAATAACATTATTAAAAAAAAAAAAAAAAAAAAAAACCTATTTGAAATTCACCCATAAACAACTATTTACAAGCAGTGTACTAAAAAAGAAAGTCTGAAAGTAAAACAAATAAAACAGAATGATTGTCTTAAAAAAGAGCGACGTTTAACAAGCTCGGCTAGCAGGCCATTAGCTAGCATTGTGTTCAAACCTGACACGTGGTAAAAATCATGTAGCTTTGTGTAGCACTAACCTAAGTCAATAGAACAGAAGATAAATCCTAAATGTCAACATAAGTGTGTGTATATATATATATATATATATATATATGAAATGAGAGAGAGAAAAATGAATAAATAATGCAAAGGCCAGCAAAGACGGACTTTAAAAAGAAAAGCTTCAAATAGGAATCAACCTGAACGGCAAGTGTAACATTAGCAACAAGCTAACATCCTTTTATTGATTTTGTTTCCATTCAGCTACAAGGCAACTACCCAGGCTGCTTTCGCCAGCCTCAACAGAACCCGACACCAAGAGGTGATTTCCCTTCCCTAGCTTGAGACAAGCTGAATAAGCAGCCAGCTAGGGAGCAAGCTTACCTGTATAGGACAATCTTGCAAGAATCCATGCACCAAGGGATTTGAAACTGGTAAAAAGTAGGTACCAGCATCCGCAAGAGTCAGACATGCTTTGTGTTTTGGAGAGAAAGAGAAAGAAACGTGACTGTTTTTGCTGAGGTCAGTAAGTAGGTAGTGGGAAGAGATGGTGACAAGAGACAGTGGCAGGTGTAAACAAAGCGAGCAACTCTGAAGAAGGGATGCCAAGCCTGAACAAGACATGCCCTAAGTCAGTGATAAGTGTACAGAAAATGAGGGACACGATAGGAATGAGAATTAAGACGATGAGATTCATGATAGAAAAGCTAAAGGTGTGGTGGGTTGGGAATGTTAGTCTAACTCAGGGTCTGGACCAATCGCAAAAGAGAATATATGTTGGTCACTCACTCTGAACCAATAGTTGGAGAAATGACAAAGAGGAGGTAATAGGAAAGGTAGGAAGAGTCCAAGTCAACAGGAGACTCTTTTCTCTTCTGTCCTTCCACTGGTATTCATACTTGTACCATTTTTCAATTTCGTCACAGTTTAGATTTTCAATAATGAGGAGAAAGAGAGCAAAAAGAAACAAGGCAGAATGAAAGGCATGGACAAAAAGAGAGAGAAAGACAAAAGATGTTAAAAAATAAATAAAATAAAATAAAATAAAATAAAATTAAAAAAGAGCAGAGAGCATGCACAAAAAAAAGAAGCAAGGAAGAGAGAGAGAGAGAGAGAGCATGCACAAAAAAAAGAGAGCAAGGAGAGAGAGAGAGCATGCACAAAAAAGAGAGCAAGGAAGAGAGAGAGAGAGCATGCACAAAAAAGAGAGCAAGGAAGAGAGAGAGAGAGAGCATGCACAAAAAAGAGAGCAAGGAAGAGAGAGAGAGAGCATGCACAAAAAAGAGAGCAAGGAAGAGAGAGAGAGAGCATGTACAAAAAAAGAGAGCAAGGAAGAGAGAGAGAGAGCATGCAAAAAAGAGAGCAAGGAAGAGAGAGAGAGAGAGCATGCACAAAAAGAGAGCAAGGAAGAGAGAGAGAGAGAGAGAGCATGCAAAAAAAAGAGAGCAAGGAAGAAGAGAGAGAGAGCATGCACAAAAAAAAAATAGAGCAAGGAAGAGAGAGAGAGCATGCACAAAAAAAAAAGAGAGCAGGAAGAGAGAGAGAGTATGCAACAAAAAGAGAGCAAGGAAGAGAGAGAGAGCATGCACAAAAAGAGAGCAAAGAGAGAGAGAGAGAGCATGCACAAAAAGAGAGCAAGGAAAGAGAGAGAGAGAGCATGCACAAAACAAAAATAGAGCAAGGAAGAGAGAGAGAGAGAGCATGCACAAAAAAAGAGAGCAAGAAAGAGAGAGAGAGAGAGAGATGCACAAAAAAGAGAGCAAGAAAAAAAGAGAGAGAGAGGGCAAAAAGAGAGCAAGGAAGAGAGAGAGAGAGAGCATGCACAAAAGAGAGCAAGGAAGAGAGAGAGAGAGATGCACAAAAAAATAGAGCAAGGAAGAGAGAGAGAGCATGCACAAAAAAATAGAGCAAGGAAGAGAGAGAGAGAGTATGTACAAAAAAAGAGAGCAAGGAAGAGAGAGAGCATGCACAAAAAAGAGAGCAAGGAAGAGAGAGAGAGAGCATGCACAAAAAAGAGAGCAAGGAAGAGAGAGAGAGAGAGAGCATGCACAAAAAATAGAGCAAGGAGAGAGAGAGAGAGAGAGCATGCACAAAAAAAGAGAGCAAGAAGAGAGAGAGAGAGCACAAAAAAGAGAGCAAGGAAGAGAGAGAGAGAGAGAGAGCATGCAAAAAAAAAATAGAGCAAGGAAGAGAGAGAGAGAGCATGCACAAAAAAAAGAGAGCAAGGGAAGAGAGAGAGAGAGAGAGCATGCACAAAAATGAAAGCAAGGAAGAGAGAGAGAGAGAGAGCACAAAAATAGAGCAAGGGAAGAGAGAGAGAGCATGCACAAAAAGAGAGCAGAGAGAGAGAGCATGCACAAAAAAGAGAGCAAGAAGAGAGAGAGAGAGAGCATGCACAAAAAAATAGAGCAAGGAAGAGAGAGAGAGAGCATGCACAAAAAAGAGAGCAAGGAAGAGAGGGAGAGAGCATGCACAAAAAAGAGAGCAAGGAAGAGAGAAAGAGAGAGAGAGAGCATGCACAAAAAAGAGAGCAAGGAAGAGAGAGAGAGAGCATGCACAAAAAAGAGAGCAAGGAAGAGAGAGAGAGAGAGAGAGAGCATGCACAAAAAATAGAGCAAGGAGAGAGAGAGAGAGAGCATGCACAAAAAATAGAGCAAGGAAGAGAGAGAGAGAGAGAGAGAATGCACAAAAAATAGAGCAAGGAAGAGAGAGAGAGGCACAAAAAAGAGAGCATGGAAAAGAGAGAGAGAGAGCATGCAAAAAAAAATAGAGCAAGGAAGAGAGAGAGAGAGCATGCACAAAAAAAGAGAGCAAGGAAGAGAGAGAGAGAGAGCATGCAAAAAAAGAGAGCAAGGGAAGAGAGAGAGAGAGCATGCACAAAAAAAAGAGAGCAAGAGAGAGAGAGAGAGAGAGCATGCACAAAAAATAGAGCGTGGAAAGAGAGAGAGAGAGAGCATGCACAAAAAATAGCAAGAAAGAGAGAGAGAGAGAGAGAGCATGCACAAAAAAAAATAGAGCAAGGGAAGAGAGAGAGCATGCACAAAAATAGAGCAAGGAAGAGAGAGAGAGAGAGAGCATGCACAAAAAATAGAGCAAGGAAGAGAGAGAGAGAGAGAGCATGCACAAAAAATAGAGCAAGGAAGAGAGAGAGAGCATGCAAAAAAAAAGAGAGCAAAGAAGAGAGAGAGAGAGAGCATGCACAAAAAAGAGCAAGGAAGAGAGAGAGAGAGAGCATGCACAAAAAATAGAGCAAGGAAGAGAGAGAGAGGCATGCACAAAAGAGAGCAAGGAAGAGGGGGAGAGGCATGCACAAAAAAGAGAGCAAGGGAGAAAAGAGAGAGAGAGAGCATGCACAAAGAGAGCAAGGAAGGGAGAGAGAGGCATGCACAAAAAAAGAGCAAGGAAGAGAGAGAGAGAGAGAGAGAGAGAGCATGCACAAAAAAAAAATAGAGCAAGGAAGAGAGAGAGAGAGAGAGCATGCAAAAAAAAATAGAGCAAGGAAGAGAGAGAGAGAGAGAGAGCATGCACAAAAAAAAAAAATAGAAAAGAGAGAGAGAGAGAGAGAGAATGCACAAAAAAATAGAGCAAGGAAGAGAGAGAGCATGCACAAAAAAAGAGAGCAAGGAAGAGAGAGAGAGAGCATGCACAAAAAAAGAGAGCAAGGAAGAGAGAGAGAGAGCATGCACAAAAAGAGAGCAAGGAAGAGAGAGAGAGAGCATGCAAAAAAAAAAGAGAGCAAGGAAGAGAGAGAGAGAGAGAGAGCATGCACAAAAAATAGAGCAAGGAAGAGAGAGAGAGAGCATGCACAAAAAAAAAGAGAGCAAGGAAGAGAGGGAGAGAGCATGCACAAAAAAAAGAGAGCAAGGAAGAGGGGAGAGAGCATGCACAAAAAAAGAGAGCAAGGAAGAGAGAGAGAGAGCATGCACAAAAAAGAGAGCAAGGAAGAGAGAGAGAGAGAGAGCATGCACAAAAAATAGAGCAAGGAAGAGAGAGAGAGAGAGCATGCACAAAAAATAGAGCAAGGAAGAGAGAGAGAGAGCATGCACAAAAGAGAGCAAGGAAGAGAGAGAGAGCATGCACAAAAAGGTAAGACAGTCAACACACACTGAGAGAGAGTGTGATAGCATCCACAAAAAAAAAAATACTGACAATTAAGACAGTGCTAGACATACATCTGTGCTCGTTATACATAAAACAACTTACATCTACTACTACTACTACTACTACGATGACAATAAAATAAAAATTAAAAAAAAAAAAAAAAAGAAATCTATAACAACTAAACACAATATTGATTATCCGCCATTCTCTGAACATGGATTCACTGCCATTAACATTTGCAACAACTGACTCCTTATTATCTCTACAGTTCCTGCCTCATGGCCAAGATAGTTGTGTATTTCCAGTTACAGATAAAATGACAGGATCATTAATGCTGATTTTTCAAGCCAATCAGCATTTCTCCTACTTGAAGGAATGCTTGTAACAATCTTACATTCTCCCCTCCCTTGTCCTTGTATCAGACTAAATTTGGTAAAACTCAGTTTTGCCTAAGAAACAATGCAACTACTTGGAGAAATGTTAATGTGAAGATACCAATGTACTATTCCCCTACATGATTGTCTTTTATTGACCGGCCAAAAAGCCGGACGACGTTGTTTACACAGACCACTGCAAATACCAGACAAAGTGCCACTACCACCACCATTAATCCATGTATGTCCAATGTCATCGGTTCAAAGTAAGAATGAACACAGCTGTTGTAATTAACCAAAACATCACGTGTTTCAACACAGCCATATTTTGTTGGCAGAAACACACACATGTGCACAGGTGTGAAACTGCATTCTCCTTATGCATGTGCATGCATAATTACTTGCAGTTTAATTTCCACAGGTATGTAAGGTGGGGGTGCTGAAAAATTCTTGGCCAAACCCACTTCTCCAAAATCAGTATTTTAATGACCATAAAACAAATGATCTTACAAAATGGACCAATCACTATATATAATACCGATGTGGAAAAAGTGGTTTTAGCCAGAAACTTTTTCAACCTTACTTGAATATATATCTCTAAGCCTAAATATGTAAATACAAAAGATACATGCTTCTGCTTACACACATATCTATTGATATATTTACACATAATAAAATTATTACCTGCAGAGTTCAATTTTAAATATATGTTTGCTATTCATCTGGAGTGTGTGTATGGAGGGTCATATAAAGTGGATGCCAGTTAGACAGAAAATTTGATACAAAAAACAACTGCAAGTAAATAGTAATTTATTATTCCCCCCCTACAAAATGGGTCAGCACAGCCAGGCAACAATGTAATAACAATGCAACAGTGAAAGTGTTAACAAGACCAATTGTATTAGAACAACAATTTAATCAGATTAAATTTTTATACAAAGCTATTTTAAGAGACTGAAATTTGTGATCCCAATGTACTCTCTTTAATCAGATTATATATATACATATTATTATTATTATTATTATTATTATTATTATTATATATTGCCACCAGGAGTGATGAAGGAATTTTAATAAAAGATTATAGGAATACAAAAGGGATAAATTTACAAAACAACACATTAAATGCATTAGTTGCCTATCATAATGAAGCCTGATCAGAATTTTGATTTAAAAAAAAAAAAAAAAAAAAAAAAAAACATTATTCTAACACTATTCTAACTAAAAGAGAATAGAATTTGCAAATTGCTAGATCATTTGCAGTAAATTTGCGTCCAGATTCATACAACATTCCACCATTCTTGGTAGATCTTCTATTATCAAAATGTAGGATATTTAATAACAAAAGTGATGAAAAAAACCCAAAAAAAACAAAAAAACAATCTAAATGAAATCAACTAGACTATTATATAACCAAAATACAAGGATCTTTTACAAAACAACACATTAAATATCTTAGTTGCTAGTGTGACCAAAATTTTGATTTAAAATGCTATTTTAATTAAAAGAAAAAAGCAATCTACTAAGATGAAAATATATAAAAATTCATTTGATTGCAAGTTCATTCACAGTATATTTACTTCCAAATTCTTAAAACATTTTACATTTTTTTTTTGTTAGCAGATCTTCTATTATCACAATGATATTTAATAACAAAAGTGATGGAAAAGTGTGCATATGTAGTCGCATCAATGTAAACATAAACTTAGCACGATGAAGTCCACAAGGACGAAACCCTTTTCACATTTTTCATATTTCTTTCCCATAAAATTGTTCATGAAATATAAAAAAAAAAAAGTTGTTTTGCAAGAAATTTGTAAATGTTATACTGTACTGCTTGGCATTCACATTGGAACCTGCAAATAAGAACATTTCAGAATGTTTAGGTGTCAATCTGAGGACAGTGCAGAGGATTCGGAAATGAGAGAAATGGAGTAAAAATCCACAGTTTGTAGCATTTACTTTTTTTTAAAAAAGTGCTCAATACAAAGTAGACCAATATGTTATTATATTATTATTATTATTATTATTATAAGAGATCCAAACTTTCAAACTTTTTAACAAAAGATGTTTACAAGAAAGGTGCCATTCTATCACAATGTGGGAGATTTAATAAAAAAAGATGATGGAAACAAAGAAAAAGAAAATTAATGAAATTGGCTAGATTAGGGGATCTCAACCTTGTTTGTCCCATGTACCCCCTGTCAGCCACCCACCCTGGCTCCTTTTCAAGGTGACAGGCCAGATAATAAACGTTCAGACTATGGATCACTCAAACTAATACACTCTCTCCCAGAAATGGTAACTAAGGTTTACTAAGTATAGTTACAGTATAAACCACAGGTGGCCTCTGTGAGTACTAAACAAAAGCAAATGCACCTGAGCAAGTGTCTGCAATAGTGATTAGCTAGCCACCCTAGTAGACAGGAATACTCAAATATGAGTGGCTAGCTATTTTATCATATATATATATATATATATATATATAATATGGTGGTCAACTCGTTAATTGTGAGTGACAATCTGCTTTGGATTTTATTATATGAGATTAAAACAAAAACATGTTAAAAATTGCTACACAATAGCTTTCATGTTTCTGAATAAGGCCAGCACACTCAAATACATTTTTTTTTCTTTGAGTATAAGACGATCTGGTGTTTCTGAAGCTAAAAACAGAGTGAATTACGTCCTTGAATATAATACGGCCCTTTAGTACAGCCATACTAAAGCAACTTTTTCTGTGCCATACTAACCCTTAAAATCACAATGCTATACATATATTTCACAAAAATATTTAATCTTTTCACAATATTAATTAGAAATGGACCAGTATTTCTTCTAATTTCCATTTCAAAACTTATTTTCAAATTTTGGGAGAAAAGTGTTAATTAGACGTACCCGGTAATACATTTTAAGGGGTTAATCTATCATACTTTTCAGTTCAATATGGCTTTATATTTCTATATATTAATAAAGTATGAAAATAATAATAATAATAATAAAAAAAAACATTATCATTCATTTAGAATAAAGAGAGGAACAAATATGGCTGACATATCAAATCCCTTCTATAATCAACTGTTATCAACATCTACCTACTTTTTCCTTTAATATCTACTGTGCTAAGTGTATTCACAATTGTGGTGTTTCAAATAAAAGTTTGTTTTTAAGCCGAGTAAAAATTTCAGAAAACATGTACTTGTAGATAATATGACATTTTTTGCCTTTAAAATTTCTTGTAACATTTGTAGACAAAAATATATAGTAGACATATTTTAATGTTTATATACAAGTGTAAATTATGGCTGCAGTAATTATTTGGTAATTAGTAATTTGCTCTATCAGAATGTGTTGATTAATCAGTTGTCCTTGTTCATCACAAAAATTCCATCCTTGGCATAACAACTGTTCTCTCTGGTGGATATTATAAAGATACAAAGACTCGCTCAGTGCCATGTTTGCTGGCTTGTGCTACTCTGCAATGATGACCATCTAACAAGAATCATCTACCAGTTTGAGATGCCATCTGAAGACAACTTCATGGCAACCACGTACCTACTGGAAGGATATCGTTCAATTGGAGGATGTTCCAATGCTCTGCCAAAACTTTGAACACTGAAGGAACAAGGTAACTCACATAGGCTCTCATCACCTCTATGACATGAGAGTTAGCAGCAGAAGCTTAACAATAATCAGTTACCTTTCATCTTACTTATTATAAAACGCAGATTGTGTGTGTGTGTGTGTGTGTGTGTGTGTGTGTGTGTGTGTGTGTGTGTCTGTAACGTTTATATATTGGATCGGATTTGCTACATTTTTCAACCGATTTCAACAAAACTTCACAGGACTACATAAAATTACCTTGTGGTGGTTCTAACAGCACCAAAAATGGGAAAAATACAATTGTTTTGCACAAAATCAATTTGAAAACACGATTAAGAGACATGTCATTGAGAATGAAAGGAGGACAACTCACCGGGGTTTGTGTGTGTGTGTGTGTGTGTTCCTTTATATAGGGATCGGATTTCCTACATTTTTTCAGCCGCTAAAACAAAATTCACTTTTTTTTTTTGGCAAGTAGTGTTTCTTATTGTCTTGCACACTTTTTTCTTTATTTTTACATTCAGAATGCTTTAAAATTCCATTTACAAGACAATTGTTTATAATAAAATTCTATTCAATCGATAGACTCATAACGATTGAAAACAATATTTTTGTTTGAGTTTGACCAATTCGTAAAAAAAAAAAAACACTAATTAAGACATGCGTGTCCGTCAACCTTAAACAATAATCTTTGTCAATTTTATTTTCAGTCTTTATTATGATTGATACTTGATCTATCTCTTACTGTTATATCCCGGGCAATGCCGGGCTCTACTGCTAGTAAGGAATAAATTTAAATATTTTTATAGATGTTCTCATCTTTTCCTATCTTTTTTCAGAGTAATTAATTACCAATTATTAGATGATTAATCAGTTTAACCCATATATAAATCTTTGATATGGGATAATTTAAATTCAGACTGCTATCCTCATCTTTGTTGTTGTTGTCACATTTAAGGTGTTGTACCTTCTAGCCTTATTCAAGTGTTTGTCAAGGG